GCTGGCGATGGGTTTGACAGGTGGACGCGACGTTCTTGGGTTGAACGGTGAGGATGACAGCTGCCCGCTCGTCAGCGGTAGCAGTACGCCGACCAGCCCATCGAACAGGCCCCATTCCGGAGGCTACATAAACGAGGCGATCATCGACTCGGAGGGTACGAGGCCGTCATACAACAAGATCCCACCGTCCGAGAGCCTCGATAACACCATCAACGCGTCCATCACTAACGTGAAGAATTTCAACATCGAGAACAACAGGTAAGGTTTATAGCCGGACCGTTCTCCAATTCTTCCCTCTCCTTCTGCCTCTCTCTTTCGCCTTTTCGGTAGCGACGAAGGATCGGTACGAATCGTGAACGACAGCTCTTTCATTTTCAGGATAGGGCACAATTGCCCAGACTCGGGTACGGAGGCGGAATTCAAGTCGAAAAGAAGATCGCAAATTAGCACGTCGAGCAGCTCGGTACCCGCTGACGGAAGCACTCATGGCTCCACGCCAACCCCGCCGCCTTTACCCGAGAGAACAGACAGCCTGAATAATCGAAGTGAGGAGGCCGAGCTACGCAAGGCGCCCTGGTTTCAAGCTGGAATACCCAGGTTGGTCTCCGCGACATTACTGCATGTCGGAGTAAAATATAAACACGCACACACGCAAGCTCGCGCTCACGCGGTGTTTTCTCGGTGAGCCGAAATAGCACCTCGTCGCCTCTGGCTAATTTTAAATATTTGTCGGGCGATCCAGTCTATAGTTCCAGTTTCCAGTAACTTTGTAAATGGAATATGCAAATCCGATTATTTTCTCTGTTTTCTCTCTGCAAGAAAAGACATCCTGACCATTTATCATTAATGATACGAATCGTGATTTCAGAGAGATAACGCTGGAAGTATTGAGCCAAGAGCCGGAAGGAGCGTTCATGGTGCGCGAGAGTACCAGCAAGCCCGGATGTTACGCTCTCTCCCTCCGTGTGCCTCGTGAATTTCAGCCGAGCGGAATAGCCCATTATCTCATAATGCGTACAAACAAAGGTTACAAAATCAAAGTAAGTCTCTCTCTCTTTTTGTCTTCGGCCATTCTTTACCGAGTATCGGGTATCAAAGTAGTTGCAAATGGCTCGCGAAAGTCAAAGTGAATCTGCCGTTGGCCAAACAGCATTCGCGTTTCCATCAAAGGATTGTAAAGCGAAAAATCTGCACGCAATTTATTTAATGTTTCTCTCCGAAAATAACGCTGATTGTTTTGATAGATGCGATGCTGTTTGCAGTTAGAATCATGACGATTCTTAAACAGCTAAATGTATCGACAATAAATTTCGCAGTGTTCGCTATAAATTATAGAATATCAGCGAAAGTACAATGGAATCTGCTAGTTAAATGTAATAATGGAATAATTGCAGAAATATAAATATATTTAACTTTAAAAAGGACATTTAAATGAATGAACACGAAACAAATTCTGTTGGTTTTCTGTTACCAATTTTATTATTGGAATAAGTCGGTAGTACGAAAAGAATTTTTTTAAATTGTGAATAAATTTAGCTGGATATCGATCTGAAAATAATTTTGTTGGCCTATAAAAGTAAGTTGATTGTTAGAATGTCGAAACTTTTTACAGCATTTTTCATTATGCTTGTGGATCCAACACAATTATTTTGGTAGTCCAACGAAATTGTTCTCTTGTGTATCTAATACAAATTTAATACAATTGATGCCAATCGTGATATTCTATTCAAAACTGTTGGCGTATCAACATTTTGCTTATTGGATCTTTGCATTTGTACGAACTTAGACAGTCGGTTCTAGTGAAAGGGATAAAATTCTTTTTAACGCACGAAATAATACCCACGGTAGAGGGAATCTTCCTGTATAAGCGCAAGTTAATATTGAAATAAGCTGCGCGCAGGATGCTAATGCGTGAAGGGTCGAAGCTTTTAGTAGTCTGAACATTATACTCAGGACTACTACGCTTGGTGCAAAGCTACCGCGCATTTAGCCATTCGGTATTTAAATGGTCGAACTTCCCCTTCTCATAGGATAGATTAAATGAGTACGCGGACTTTGATAATCTCCGAAACCAGTATAAATGAGTTTTGTTGGATATGCCGCGGATGCCGTTGGCTTCGCCCTACGACGACGCGGAAAATTGCATCGCACTGTAATAAGCACAACGCCAGATTCGAATGAATGCCGGTGTACGATAACCCTGATATGCCGAGGTTCGTGTCAGCGCGTCCGTATATATGATACATTTCATATTATCTCGTTATGTGGCGTGTTTCGCAATACGACTGAAAACGTGAAGAAAGATCTCCGACCGACTAATATCGCATTTCATTGTCCTGCAATGTGTGTTACAACAATGCCCAGTAATGTACATAATATTGCATAATACAATGTGCATATATAGATAATAGCCAAAACGATAAGCTGATTGTGTTATTTCTGCGCTATTTATCAAATGAAATTTTTCTCTTTATTATTTCAACTAAACCTTTGAGCTCTGTTGAAATACTGTTGAAATTCGATTGTGACTAAATTATCTCCAGTTTTGGCTTGAAAAAAAACATTATATTTTTACTTTCTTTTTCATTTAATATTTCTAATTTTTTTCTACAAACGAAATTGTTTCCTGTATATTTAAAAACAAAAGGTATTTAATTGTTTCTGCGAAAATATATAACGCGCAAAATGAATTCCATTTTTATTTTTCGACGGACTGAATAAAATTTAGTTTCGACAACGTTTACAATTGCGAGAGAAAGCAGAATTATTACGAGCGAGATAACGGTGGGTAAACTTTGACAAGCGTTAGAATTAATGCCGATACAGCACTACGAACCCTGTAAAATCACTAATCACTCACCATTCGGTTATGCCGGAATTATTGCCGTGCCCATTGTCGCTAAGCCGATACAATCCGAGCTTCGTCAAGACTGACTCCAGCAAGGATTTCGCGGACATCGATTCGGACCCGGATTACAATACCCTAGCGGATTTTCGCAAAATGATGGCCGATCTGAATGTCTAGAACGATCGACAATGACTCTTTTTTTCTTCCTTTTTTTCTTTCTCTCTCTCTCTCTTTCTCTCTCTCTCTTCTGCACTTTCCTATGGTTTGTCGATTCATTTAAAACCAGATGGAAGATACGTGAGGCACCGTTCGGTATATTTGTACCTGGATCGATTTTGTGCCATTTGTATTGTATGTAAAAAGCCGATCGTTATTCGCGATCATTATCCGCGAAGAGATTTTGCCTAAGGTAATCGACATCGGCGCAACGCACTTTAAACGACGCTTAGTTAACGAATCTATGTTCCGGAAAGACTCGCACAGCCACCAGTGATACATACTCATAAGTCATTAATAACGGTAAGAAACGTAGCGTAGATAATTTAATAACTGCTAGTGTTGTATACGGACGCGTGACTGGAATAGCAATTCGATTTTTTTGTATTACAGCACGTGCGCCTAGCCAGATGTTAGTTTTAAACATATGCTATAACAATTGACGTCTGTCGGAACTTCAATCGGAATAAATTATTTTCACAAAACGTAATATATGTTCAAGTGCTCGTTACGAAGATTATTATATTTTTGCAAGTTTCTCTACGTTAAACGGACTGTCGAAATCGAATTTTGTTATCGTTTGGATTGCTCTCGATAGTTGCAACAATACCAAACGATTCGTATAATATATTCTTGTTACAAAACGCGTAATAGACGCGTAATTGGAGCATTAAGAAGATAAGGGAATTAATTAATTCATTGCGATAGGTTACGAACTTAAAAAATTTCGAGTAAATTTTGATTGATTTACAGTTGAAATAAAATTTAAAAACACGTTGAAAGGACGTCAAAATGTTTTCAGAAAAAAATGTTTCGAAGGTGATATGTGAAGGATATTGTTCTCCGAGAGAAAAATCGATAACTTTTTTTTCCGGTATAGCGTTATATTAAAATATTTTTCCATCTAATTCCTCTCTCGATTATTCACGGCGTCCAAAAAGTGATATAGTAATTTTTATTCGACTGAACAGTGAACAATCATCTATTTTTTCGTAAGATGTAATTGAGGCTCGTATTACCATCGCACATATATTCTATGGTTGCTCCGGAAGTGGGAAGGCTATTGTATAATAGACAAATGCAATCATTTCCTCCGTTTTTATGATTGGACTTTATAGTTAATCAAAAAGTATATCTTTGAAATGCGAAAAATACAAAGAAACGTCACATATTCTATAGGTTCAGCTAAGTGAGTTGAATCACTGAAAAAATGTTCGAGCTTGGAAGCAAAATCAAGATATATAATCCATTATCGAGCCTATATATGTTGGAGTTAGATTCTTTCGTTTATCATTTAATCGCATTCCCGATGGTATATCGCAATCCGATGCATCGGGGATCAAAAATGAAACAATATTCACCGAAATTTCGATAAAAAGAGAAACAGTTTGCTCTCTTTTAGTATTGAAAATGGAATAATTTTGATTGCCATATATTTCAATTATAATCTCGTACAGAATAACATGAAAAACGAAAATTTTCTGATTTATTTCTCATTTCACAACGAATGAAATAATAAGAAGTTATTGGAAAATATTCCATTATAATTTGATAAAAACAAGATATATGTAGAATAAAACTACAAAACGAGAATAAAAACGGCTGAAATATTTTTCACTTTGATCCCTGATCGCAATATTGATGTACATGTGTTTATATGTATATATATATATGTTATAATTATTCTCACTCGCACGTTATATTTCCACACGTATATTTAATTAGTAAACGTCAAAGAGGATTAGTAAACGGCATGGAATCTTGGAAATGCAATTACGCCTAAGAGAGGACACAGAACTTCCTCGAAATTTCGACTCGACGAAACACGAATTATTGTAATAGGCGATAATTTAGTTTCTCAGCTATCCTAGTCTTGTACAGAAATTCGCGCATAGTTACGACAATGAAATCATACGATGCGTAGATAACTATCGTATTTAAAATATTGTCAGCGTCGACCAGACACTAAACTGCACTTTTTTACATACCAGAAAATAATTTTTCGAGTATAATTACCACATATTAGCGATTCCTTGGCTATTAAATAGGATGTACAAGCTACATCGAAATTTACAAAACTGCCATCTCATTAAAATCATTCATTATGACCGTTATTCATTAAAAAAAATAAGAGTAAATATTAAGCTGTTAATATTAACAGTCTCGGTGATTAAATTTTTATGCTATAGGGATATAAAGACAATATAGCGTACATTTTTGTATCATTGAATATTAAATTTTTTAAAATGATGACGGTTTCGATTCCTGAACGACAAATGAGATTGCATCATAATTTGTCGACGAGTATATATTCAGACTTGTATCTAGTGACGCATTGTGTTAAAGAAAGTTCAGAATTATGCATATAGTGCATTGAAATCGTATGTATGATATGTATAATAGATTTCTGCAAATATGAATCGATTGTGACTTTCTGCTTCTATAATACAATGTGTCGCTATAACGCGATGACAACGCGAATTGCTAAAATTTATTGTAACAAGTCTCGTCAGAAATATTTGTATCTGTAAAACTTCATTATATCTACCATAAATCATTTTTTAAACTCATAGCCGCAATTGCGTAAAAACACTGAGACAGTGATGTGTCTCATGTCGTTAATCTCATCGCACATGCGCGATCTAATGGATTGTGCAAACATTTTAAAATAGTGTTTTTGGAATATCAAGTTAAAAATAACAAGGGAAAAATGAAGTGTTTGTATTAAATCGATTAATGCGTGCTAAGATAATCGCGCAAAAAACAGCATAATTAACTGTTGTAATGTACGCTACGCATGACATTAATCACTGCTTGAGGTTTGTAATGTTTCATGAATTTTTATTATCGCAATGCGTTGTATAATGTCAAGAGAAATTATTTATTACAATAAATATAATACAAAGTATTTCTTACGACTGTATAACATCTTGTAGAATCCAACAGTACAAATTCAATGATTTAAAACGAATCGCTAAATAAAGGTCGAAATGTGACAGATAAAAAGATACAAATATGTGCCGTTTTAGCTTTCGTGAGCCACAACATTCTTTTGCCTTTCTGATACAAACGGTATAGCTCCCTTCTTGGAATGATAACGTTTATTAGCCTCCCTGCGAGATAAAACAATATTATAACACTATTCAAAAGTATATTGTAAAATTCAAACACTAGGATTTTTCATTATACTTACTTGCGTTTACTTTTCTCGCGAATCGTTCGTAATTCGGCTCGCGCATTATATATGTGTTTCGGTACTTGTCTATGACGTGCAATTCGTCGAACTTCCGGATGCGCCGCGTACTTTTCTTTCAAAGCGTCATTGACAAGCAGTGCGTTTCTTTCTCTAGCTCTCAGCTATTGAAGTTAAGAACAGAGACATGGAGAGTATTATCGGTAATTGAAAAATTGCTTATAAATTCGTAGAATCGTGATATTTATATGCTTACAATGCCGAGCTTTTCCGATGCTTTAGCTTTCCATATACGAAGATTCATTTCGTCGCTGCCACTAATTACAAATTTGTTATCGAGCGACCATCCTACGCAGGTAAGTCTGTGCATGCGTCTTGTGTGATACACTTCTCGTGAGTGACCTTTATTCGCTTCGAAAATACGAATCGACTTGTCGTAACTGCCCGAAACAAATTCTCTCCCCGTCGGAGAATAATCCACATCTATCACGGCCTCTACGTGATCCATATGTATGTTAACCGGTGTTTTCATCTTGCGGGTATCGTATGTGTACAAACTAAAACAAATACATTTAAGATGATGCGAAGAAATTGCAGGAAGCCATTCTTTGATGTTCTATTTTATATCTTACTTGTAATCTTCATTGGCACAAGTAAAGATGAAAGCTTCCATAGGATTCCAAGAGAGCTTGTTGCTGCGTAATTTCATTATTATCCTTGTTAAAGGTCCTGTTTCTCTAGTGTCGTATAAAATTATGCTGCGATCACTGGCGCAAGAGACTGGAAATTAAAATTAAATTTAATATAAAATATATTTTATTGATATCTCATATGCATATAGAAATATAATCTTTCATCAAACGTTGTACCTAAAAGATCTTTTTGTACAGGATTAAACTTTATGTCGAGTAGACTATCTACACCCCATTTAAATGTACGAAGTGGTTCATTACGAGTATCCTCCCACATTTGACATATTCCTTCTCCACAAGTAACAAATGTAGAGTTAGCTCGATGATGAGTTATGCCAGTTAATACTGTCTATGGACAAAGAAATTGCTTAAAAAGTTTTAAATATATTTACATTTGGTAAATTTTAGGAAAACTATATCCAAAATCCGCATACTTTGTTGACAATAGTATTCACAGGTTCCTCATCTTCACTAGCAGAGACTGCGTCCCAAGTTTTAATCGTTTTGTCGTCACCGACTGTAATGAAGTGTTTTCCATCTGGCACGTACGCAATACCGCGAACTATGCCATTGTGAGCCAAAAACGCGCGTGTGCACGTACCCAGGCTGAGAGACCAGGTTCTCACCTCGCCGTCGTAAGCACCGCTGAGAATTGTGGACAGCTGAGAGGGATGCTTGCATATGCAGGACACTGCATCTCTGTGGCCTTCTAGATTGCCTACAAAAGGCTTCGCAAATACCTTTTCCAACTTAACAGCGTTCAGTGCTTTTGTGTATTCCCTGGCCGCTTGGAAGGGATGTAAAGAGGGATCGAAATTTCGTGGAACTATAAATGATAAAACGATATTCGATTATTGCTGTTTTTTTTTTTTTTAGGTTATTTTCATCGATTGATAGAACTTATATGCTTTCAACCTTCTCTTGAAATTATATAACTGGGCATTAATTATGTTAATGTGTTATTGTCTTTTAAATAGTTTTGCTCAGCTTTTCGATATAATTGAATATAATTTTCATTGCTATGTTCCGCATGATCAGGTTAGATCTGTAAATATCTTGGCGGTAAATATCTTTACTTACTTTTATGAATGTCTCGTTTAGTCTCTCGTAAGTACTCATCAGGATTCCTACTTAATACTTTAACTTTCATTTTTAAGCAAGAACTACGCACACTTTTTTATCAAAATATTCATAAAAGATTGTCCTCTTGATCTCACGTGTTTGTCTTCCAGATGTTTTAAACAGAAGACAGTGACGAATGCGACATCTATGAAGATTCTGTGGCAACTACTAGTGATGTATTTAAAAATGACTGTGTAGTTCAAATATGATTGATCAATGTAAATTGATTAACATTATTTTGAAAAATATTAAAAAATTTCAAAGTTTATAAAACTCTTATGCTCATTTCCACCAACGCAGATTAATCTCGGTGTTCAACTTACTTTTTATTTTTTTTTAATCTCTAGAAAAAGACGAAGAATAAGTTGAACCGAGATTAAAGTTATCTATAAAGTTAATCTATATTGGTGGAAAATTAAAGTTAATCTAAATTGGTGGACGGGCATAAGAAAGACACCTACTTGGAAAAGTTTTTAATTTTTATATTTTTAATATATTGTTTTAAAGTGTCCTGAAAGGCAAACTCCGACTAACTTAATCGATGATTAATTCAATCGACAATTAGGTCCGGTTTCACCAACTCCGATTAATTTAATCGACCGATTAGTCCAATGGAATTGATCAATCGTATGTGTCATTTTGTTTGACGATCGATGCGATCGATTAATTTCGATGGACTAATAATCGGCCGATTAAATAATAAAGAAAATAATATTAAATCTTAAAGAAAAATTTATTTTAATTTTTTGCTACGCATTAAATAACAAAAAAGATTAATAATTCTAGCTATATAAACAAAATGATACAGACATTGAAGTTCTCCTTTTTGCAAAAAATATTACGTTAAGTCTGCAGCACACGCGATGCATGTTTTTTTGCTGGAGTGCTTGCGTTTTGGTAAATTATTAAAAATTCTGCGTTTTGTGTGATACAATTTTAGTAATTTACTAAACGCAAGCAATCCAGCAGGAAAACACTTAAATCGAATGCTATAAGCATTAATTTCTGTTATGTCAAAGCAGCGTGTCATAGTGAGGTGCAATTTTTATCATAGTTTCATAATAATATCATAGCGATATCACCTGTGACAAAGCAAACATTTGCACATGATTTTATTATGATATAACTATAACTTTCTTTTGTCATTGGGATTAATTATCAAAATATATCTTAACAAATTATACATACATTCCTGATGAAAATAAAAATCAGGGGGTCGATTCTATATTTTCAAACAAGGTGAAAATTACAAAAGTGAGCAAATTTACTAGGTGTTGACCAATGAAATTATCAGTATTCTAGTAAATTTGCTCACTTTTGTAATTTTCACCTCGTTTCAAGATACAGAATCGATTCCCAGAGAGTAAATTCTATGTAATGGGAGAGTAAAAAGCATTTACGCTTCCTTTATATTTTAATGTTTCAATTTTTGCCTCCTAAAAATGTTGTTTACGCTTCTGTTACAGTGTTTACGCTTGTTCTCTCCCATTTACATCTAATTTACGCTCCGATTTTTATTTTCATCAGAGATATAGATGTAACATATGTTTTAAAAAATGAAAACGAACAAGACAATTGCTCTTTATACGTATATTTACAACTAACGTTAAATATTTAAATAAATATATTTGATCAAACTGATGACGATTATACTGTAATCATTATAATCAATCAATATGATACTTTCAATTGGAAAGGTGTGAAGGCATAACAGTATCATATCGCTATATATACATTCTAAGTAAGTTTTATATACGCTAAGTATTATATACGAAGAGTAAAGAAAAGAGATAGAGAGTGAAATATTTCGACAAATAAGATTACGAGCGATAAGATTACACGAACTTTTAACTCGGTCTACAGGTACGACAAGCATCATCTTGCATTCAGACTTCGACCGTGCCGAATCGATTTCCATTATGCCAGGTGGGTAAAGATTTCTCTAAAATATATTAAAATAAGTAGATATAATTTTTTTTTAATTTTTTGGTATTTATAAGATCTTTGTTTTTTTACTTATTTTATTTCACTTTATATTCTCTAATTTTGTATCGACATTTGCATTGAGGATGTTTTACTAAATATCATTTCTTGCGTTTTATTATTTTATTACTAAAAATAAATTTGCAAATATTGAATTTTAAAACTCAAATTACAATTCTACTATTTGTCTGGATAATCTGGTAAATCTAGTTAAAAAAAACTGGATTATTAAAATCTAATTAAAAATCTATTATAATTATAGGATGTTGCTATTTTTGGAAACTAATTTTCTGAAATTTAATTATGAGCAGATTAATCTAAATCAGGTTCTGTGGCGTATTGCATGAATAAACATATGCTTACGTGTAATACTTCTATTGCGTTATCTATTAAGTAGTTATTACGATAATAGCTATATTAAGTTAAGTGTAAAAATAGTTGTACATAATTTATTTTTTTTATCAGTGCGAAGAAATCCATCATTAAATATAGTTACTTTATTTTTAAAGTATATGAGTCATATGAATTATAAAGATAATATGTATGTGGCATGTGAAGTCATCGATTACAAGAACCATCTAGAAGTCTTATCATATCGATGACAAAGAGCATGTGTTAGTATCAATGTATTATAATATTACGTAACACATGTATTCGCGGTATATAAGCGGTATTTTATGAAATTGTTCAAAATAAGATTATATCATTCGATAGAATTAAATATTTCATTATTAGATATCAAAATCATCATGATGAATATCAATTGGATTAAATGATTATTAAAATACAGATTAATAATTTTCTTCGCAAAATTTAGAAAACCATAGGTAAATATATATATCTTAGGTAAATATATACATATATTTCTTACAATATTTCTATATTAAAATCAAACAAAATTAAATATTAAAACAACTTTATTAAAAATTATTTTTTAAATGATTTTTTTAAATAATCTATACTGTTATATATATTATTTTAAATTTAAGAAAATGTTTAATATAAAAAACATATAAATTTTTACACTTTTCCTTATTTTAATAAATTTTTTATCAAGTTAAATATTTTATTAAGTATTAAGTTACATGAAATTTTCATTTGCCAACAAAATGAAGTCGAGAAACTGAATCCCGATAGATCCGACTCATACTAATATGTTAATATGCTGCCAGAAAACGCGATCATCGGCGGTCGCGACTCTGATGGAAGCAAACTTTACGTCGGCAGAGCTTTTCATGATGGTGATATGATACCAGCGAAAGTGATTCCTGACAAGGGTGTCGCCTATGTTTGTCACAATGGCGAGGAACATCCCAAAGACAATTATGAGGTGACAAATAAGCCAGACGAATTTTTTTCTATGTTACGAGAAACCTGATCACTTACGAGTCATGCTAAGCTTTGCATTACTTAATCATCTTATCAGGACACTCATAAGATCGCCCAAAATTGATTATAAAGTATAATATATTATTTTTAATATATTATTAATTAAATATATTCTATCGCATTTTTAATACAAAAATTATAGATTAGCTTTAATTAAAATTGTTTCACAGAAGTGATTATCATCAATTTGCTGCATTAAAAATACGAATTCATTGGTTTAAACTCATCTAAGAAACCAACAACGATTTCCTTTGATTCCAACAATGATTAAAGACGGTTACATCATTTTTTCATAACTTATATAATACTCCGTAAATAAGTACATGAAATAACAATCATAATACAAGATTTACTAAAATTAATTATATCAATTTTATTAGACTCAAGATGATCTTGAGATATCAAATTTTTTTCGGAAATAGCTATTGATTTGATAAAGATATGATTCGATATAGATGTCTCAAAGATTCACACGAGATTATTATATTTCGTTATCTGATAATGTTTGATCAAAGAATAAATGAATAATGATAAGAATAAAAAAACGCGTCAAAATTAATTGTCGATGATATTTATAAGCAATTAATTAATTATACCATAGAATAATATTACGATTTTGTCAGGTCCTTGTCCAAGGGGAATTTGCATGGGAGTTTTGCAGCAACGGTGAAGTACCAGAGGATGCAATAATCGCAGGTCAAACTGCTGATGGAGAACCTCTGTATGTTGGCCGTGCCCTTCATAGTGGATCTCAAACAATTGGCAAGGTCGGTCTTTTCGGCAGCTATTAATCTCAGAGTTCGACAGTAATGATAAGCATAAAATATGGAATAGCAGCTTGATCGAAGCATGCTTGATTTGCCAAAACATTCTCCAACCTCTCTGTATTCAGCAAGCAAAACTCACTTTTATCTTGTGCGACTTTATCTTTACTATTAGACAAGATATAATCCAGCTGTTCAAAGTATACATTAAAATCTAAAATTAATATCTTGCTCGTCATTATAAAATAATATAATAATGTGTTAGAATGAGACAAAGACGAGCAAAAAGAAGAATGGATATTAACGATGTTACTAAGTATTGAAACATTAAAAATAGTGCTTTTAATATTTAAAATAAATAATTAATTACTATCTTTTTTAATATTAAATTGGGCATAATAAATTAGATTTATGTGAGAGTAATTAATAAAACTATCAAGATATAGATAATAAAAATATGAATTTATTATGTTAATTTAAAATTGACAAAATATAGGTGAGATAAGTTTCAATTGCATATTAAGATCTTAAGATGTATAAATAGATATTATTCCGTGAAAATAATTAAAAGCAAAATAGAAAAATCGAAGTCATTACAGATATAAATACATGTTTAGTTAATCATCTATAATGATTACGATTTTTCAATTTTTCTCTTAATTGTTTTCGCGGAATAATATCTATTTATACAACTGAAGAAGACTTATTATTAGTACAATTGTTTTGCTTACATATTATTTAGTTAAATTTGAATACATTAAATTCACATTTTCATTAACTAAACATTCACTATCTTCACTCGTCTTTGATATATTTTAACAGATGATTACATTATATATGTATGATTATATTATATTAAAAAAAAATAATTCCTTAGGTACAACCAAGTCACGGATGCTTATACATTCCGTATGAAGGCGAAGAGTTGTCGTTCAAGGATTACGAAGTACTCGTTGTACATTAATTCAATTATGGATGCACCCAAAGATGTAATACGCATTCTATATACGATCGAAGTTAATTGAATCAAACAAAACAATTTCCAAATAAACTGCCGAAGTAAATGAAAAATTATTGTGAACAAAATGCTCCGTTTTTAAAATATTTGTAAAAATTCATTGAAATAAAATGATTGATAAAAAAATAATCTCAAATTTTTTTAATTACTTTTGACGAGTAATAAATAATTTGTATCGAGAATAAACTATTACTGAACAAACAATTCGTATTGCTTATTTATTTTAATGATTATTTGCTTATTAATTGTTATATTAATCGAGATATATTTCTTAAATATTAATTAAACACTTACATAAATTAAATATATAGGTATATGAATAATCTAATCAGTATTATCAAAAATATTATAATTGTAATTATACTATTGTGATATTTTCTTCGTTCTAATTTAAATGCCTTTCGTTTTAGTTACATTTTTGCATTATCACAAAATTAAAATATATAATAATATATAACATGTTGACAAAGAGAGTAACCTAGTTAAATTGTTATCAATGAACAATGAAATAAAAATCATCTGCAAGGCAAACGAGCAAATAAATAATACACTAGTGACCTAAAAGTGATTACGTCACTCCGATAGAAACGTGTAACAGGAGAAATCGTTTCTGTCCATTAAATTCGATAGCTGCGAAAAAAAAAATCGAAAGTTGCTTTATGTGCTAAATGCGGAATTGAAATCATTAACTATAGTTTCATGGCTGCTACTTGAAAAAACATAATTCTCGAGGAGCGGGGCCGCGGGGGGAGGACACCTAGAATGCAACGAAATAAAATACCTTTCTGATAATTTGCCTGCCAATAGATGATTTATTGCAATGTATTAGTAGGCTTTTGTCAATCGGCAACTCCGATCGTACGCCGAATAACCAGTTGGTCACCGCGAAAGAATCATACCTCTCGCGTGCCGCAAGCACGGCCGCCATGATGGCCGACGAGGATGGCTCTTGAGTAATGACGACCACAGACGCACCCTCGTCGGTCGGATATCAAGACAGAGAGTGGGAAAGAGAGGAGGCAAAGAGAGAGAGAAAGAGAGAGAGGGAGAGGTGCCGGTGACAGCTCTGCATCGAATATTTTATAAGCATCGCTGTGGAATTGCGAGCATTACTCACTTGACGGCATCATACGTCAGACTTAAGAGCCAGGGCCGCCTCTAGATGTCTTTCGTCGCTCGGACGCGACCTTGCGGATTTTCGTCCTTTCGATTTTGTAGTACTTCGCCATGCGAACTTGAAAGATTTCGCGATGAGGATTGGACGCGCACGAGGACTGGACTCGACGTCCGATCGGTTGGGAAACGGACATGGCGCTTATCCGAGCGAACAAATTGAACGAAAGGCGCAAGAAATTCGACGTGACAACGATGATAATCAGCGATGGCAGGACATGCGAAAAATCTGCGAGTCGCGACCGCGTGACGATGAAAAAACCGCGATGGTGCAACCGCGACTCGGCCTGTCACTCGAGCGGCCGAGTCGCGCGAATAGCTTTGAATTCACCGTCGCAGATAATGGCACTTGGACGGCCCTGTCTAAAATAGGCTCCGACTGTAGAACGCTGGGACCGTGCGTAGTAGTGATTACTTTATCAACGAATTGTCACATTTAACAGCGCCTCGTCGAGTTACGCGCGGCAGCGATTCGACGACGCTGCCTGTTTACGCTCAGTTGCCATCCGTTCGACATCGTCGCGGTCGCCGGTAGCCGTTTCCGCTTCGGCTAAACAGATTTCTCGAATTTCTTATTAATAAAATCACGGGCGGCAGGTTGAAGATGTTCTTTACGCGACTGCCCAGAGTTACTCGCTCGCTATTGTCGATAGAAGAGGAAATACGTTCGGATAACGCCAAACTAACAACTATCATCATCTATAATAGGGAAGAATTTTCGCAACGAGAGGAACGTGTCAAGGACAAATCGAAGGCTGCGTGATCGATCAATCCGAATGGATTGTTTGGTGAAAGAAGTTTACACTAAGATCGCAAGAGGTAATCATACGGTTTCGTGAGTAACCCGTTACGAGTTGTTGACATCATCCGGGCGCGAGGACATTTGCACCGGAGGCGATAAACTTTGAGAATCTCGGCTTGAGTGAATTAAGCCATCAGCGGCTTTCTACAGCCTTCAACATAGTAACGCGCAGTTGGCGGGTCATCGGAAATCTAAATTGTTCACGCAAGAGGAACAATGTCTCGTCGAATCGTAAGGTATATAAAACCGAAAAAGATCATCATTCGTCGACGTAAGAATAAGTACTCCCTGGGTAGGAAAATGAACACGATAATCATGACACGTCGTTCATTCATCAACATGTCAATGTTGAGACCATTGGATTAGACTTTATGCTACGTGAAGAGATTTGGCGGACATAAGGTAGCTCGTTATGCTCCATCGCGGAAGACACTCGCGTGTCAAGGTGATCAGCATGTTTTTCGCGTATCAAGAAAGGAAAACGAGCGGGACAAGCGGGGCAATCGCCGAGGAAGAATAGGATTCAGGTAGCGCGGCGGGAGGACCCTCGGAGGCCTCGGGCACCGTCGTCGGGGGCTGACCTTGACCCGAAAACTCCTGCGGGGCGGAATCGGAAGCGACTCGCGGGAGCGCTGATAATCGCGCTCGTGGAGCATTAGCCGCGTGTCGTGCACCGCGGAGGAACCGATTAAGCGCGAACGTCGGCGACGTTGCCCCGAGGGGCCACCGCGTGTGCTTAGTCCCTAAGTGGATGTACACGAAGGCGGATCAACTCGTTGCGCGCTGCAGGAGGCCGATCATAGGAAAGAGCGGTGAGTGAGCGGCGACAGCGCGGCCCGGGAAAGAGGTGGTACGAGGTACGCTGGTGCTGGTGCTGGTGGTGACCAGCGAAGGAAGGAGACAGATAACACCGCTGCGTCTCGTAATGCACGATGTTGCATTAGCCGGGAGTCGCGGGACCACCGTGCGATTTCTCTCGAGCGCGCACCGAACGATCTGAACCAAAATCTGGACGCCTTCGAGGCATTTCGCGAGCTATTCCTTGGACTGCTACAGGCAGCTTGATGTTCTTCAATCGATCATATACCTGGACAATAGAAAGAGACTGTGATTTTTCTAAAAGAAATCAGTTCAATCCTATTTCTTCTTTGACGTGAAATATGTCAGAGATCACGACAACAATCGTCACGCCCGCGGGGCTCACATCGGAGAAGAAACAATCAATTCCCGAAAAGTCTGACAGCGCCGTCACTTGGAAGTCCATGAGCATCCGGCAGAAATGGTCCTTCTTGACCAGCAACATCACCGTCGAGCCGATGGTCGCATGCTATGTGATTCCCAGCGTACTTTCCCAGCTGGCCACCCAGAATCTGATCCTCGAGAAGGCCTGCCGAGTGAACCTGGCTTATCCAGATGAAGTATGCTCAGCTTTGTCCGCCAGGAACACCACCGGTTACGAGGCGGAGGAGCTTGCAGTTCAGCAGATGGTGGCGCGTATGCAGACCTGGAAAACGCCGCTGCAGAGCGCCCTGCCGACCATCCTGATCCTGTTTATGGGTGCGTGGAGCGATCGCACTGGTCTAAGGAAGCCTTGCATGCTACTTCCGATCATCGGCGAGTTCTTCAGTAGTGTTACCCTCATTGCTTGCACTTACTGGTTCTACGAGTTACCCATGGAGGTGGTTGTACTGGAGTCAGTGTGGCCTGGATTAGCTGGCGGTTGGTCTACCATGTTTATGGGTATCTTCAGTTATATAGCGGACATCACAACCGTGGAATCAAGAACACTTAGGATTGGCGCGGCCAACGTCTTCCTGTCTTTGGGCGTGCCAATAGGCATGGCCCTATCAGGGATATTTTACACAAAGCTGGGTTTCTATGGTGTCTTTAGTATCGCGATGGTGTGTTACATAATGAGCTTTGTGTACGGTCTAGTGGTTATCAAGGAACCATCGAGGGTGCTCGCGGAACGCGCGCGGAAAAAGTCCCTTCCAAGCGAAGGTAAGCGGACCTCGTTGTGCGCCTTTGTTTTGGACTTCTTCTCGTTGAAACATATCAAGGAAACGTTTCGTGTGGCATTCAAGAAAGGGGCGAACAATCGCCAGAAAAGGGTCATCGTGCTCATGGTCGTTGTTATGATTGTGATCGGGCCCCTTTACGGTGAGTAAATGGCCCGAATAAATCGAGAGCCTTTAAAGAAATGTTTTCCCAAGTGTTAAGCAAGGTTATTCGACAGTTGTATGTAACGTGTCTTATTTACAACAATAACGTTATGGGAATAACTTTTTGTTCTTAGATCGTTAGATCACCGAGACTTCGGCAATATTTGTCACAATAACTAGTAAATGAACATCGTGCTTCAAGGTGATGTATATTAACAACAATATATATTGAGAAATTAACACTTATTAATTAATTCTTATTAACTTCTACGTGAATTTATATAAATTCATTTAATCACACAAATTCATTCAATCGCACAAAAGTATGTATTTAAGCATTAAAATCCGTTTCGATTGAAAATAAGAATTTTTCATATTTAATTTGATTTGTCCTTATTGATCCTACTTCTCAATATATATTAACATATGTCACTTTGAAACACGACGTTTATTTACTAATTATTGGTTATTGTGATGAATGTTGTCGAAGCCTCGGTGGTCTAATCATGAGGACGCTCGCACGGAATGCAAGAGATTCAATCCCCGGCCGAGGTCTTAATATCTTTCGCAGATTTAAGATTTTCTTTAACATCTGATTATAAATTCTTATTAAAGATGTTTATTACCAAAAATTATTAAACTATTTATACAATTTAATAAATAATATTACTATTCTGGTTTTGTTCATGAGTGCATTTCAAGACCAATCAAAAAGATTTCGACGCGCGGTATGCAGAATCAGAGTGTACATAAATTCACACAGAAGGTATGTGTTTAAGTACTAAGATCCGTTTCAATGGAAAAGAAATATTTTTTGTATTTAATTAGCTGCATAATTGAATTTTTATTATTAACTCTACAATTGATTTTAATTGTGATAATTAAAATCTTGAATTCTCACACCGAATAATACCCCTGTGTGAATTCTGAATTACAAAGAGGCTAAAATAGACCTTCTATATAATTCAAGATGTTATAATTGCAGGTGTTAATTCAGACATGTTACTCACATGGCATTTTCTTTCAGTAATTTTTCTAATTATTTTTAATTTTCACATTAATTAAATTATAACTTAATTTAATATAGCTTTATTTAATTATAACTTTATTTAATATTCAATTTTACAAATACGTAAATAATGAGTTGTTAATACAGTGTGTGATCTAATAATACTATTATTGTTAAAGATTATTGTATCATTTTGTTTAGTCTCTGCAAAATATGATTAAAATAAGAAATTTATACCTTCCACATAAAAATAAATATTATGTATATGATATAGTTTAAGAGGGTCAATATTTATATTTAATAATACAATTTTATAATTTACATAAAATTTTTCTCAAATTTTATTTTAATTATTATTTTATAACATGTTTACCCCTTGTTGAAACAATTGTTGAATCAAGTTCTAAATTGTCGCCGAATTTTTTGAATTTTAACATTAAAAAATCTGTAATTTTTTCACATTTTTTTTATTTTAAAAAGTGTTTATATACTTCATGTATTCTTCATACTTAATACATCCTTAAAAACTTATAAAGCTTTATTCTCAATTAAAATTATATATATTTATTGTATAATATATATATTCATTGTATATAACAATATACACCTTTTGGGAACATCCTGTATATTTGTATACATATAATATTCATGATATTATTTATTCATTGAATCGATCTTATATAAGTGAAAATTTTTACAACTATTATTTATTCGCATTATGTAAACCAGAAAAAGCTCATAAATGCATGAAAAATAAACATATAATGACTCAAATATACAAACAATTTAATTCTCACACAATAAAGAAAAAAATTGGTAAAACCGCTGGAAAACAGTTGAAAATAAAAGGCAGCCATCATTTCTCACGTGCATTCGTAGCACGATAAAAACTCACGGTAATTCTCGTTAATCTTGCTACCGTGTTGCGGTAACTGTGCGCATTTCCATCAGTAATTACTTACGTCCGACGGTGTGAACATACATCGTATGCCAAGGGAAAGTAAGAGAAGATATGGTAAAACTAGGCACACATTATACGAACGCGAACGTGTAGCGTTGCTTGAGGTATCCAAATAATCCGCGTATTTTAAAGCGTCAATAAAATATCTTACTGCAACTGCATTTGTTTGGCATTCGGAATCACTGATATTGCGCGTAATCTACAAGATATGGACGTTATAAATCTGCAAAGACCAAAAGTTCAACAAGCGAAACAACAAACATTTATTACATCGTTAACTTTTGTACACTGAAAAAAAGTCAAAATATTTGCAAGCAAATGTTACATATGATATTTCCTTTTATTGGTCATAAAAAAATTTGATTGCGATGACAAACTATACATTTCTGTGAAATGTATCTTATTAATTGCAAAAAAATAAAATGATTTCTTTATTAGGAACGCAGTATTTAAATAAATATTTGTTTCAACAAAATAAACATTATATATCTCACAAATAAATGTTAAGTAGATTTCTTTCAGTGTACCGAGAGAGTTTTTTTTCTAAAAGACGGGAACTATTCTTACGATCTTTTTTAACAAACGCATACCTCGTCGAGTTTGTTAGACGGGGAGCACATAAATAAAAATTTACGATATCGATACAGACGTCAGCGCTTAGTACGAGCATCCAGTCTCAGTGCCGGACGGTATCGGCAACAATAAAGCCTCCAGTTTCTGCTAGTAGCCCGTGCAAGCACGCGACCACACGAATCATTCAATTTTTCAATTAGCGTGCATTTGTTACAGCGCGCTATCGCGACTTTAATGCGATCGTGCGCGCTCGTACAGCGACGACGTACAATTCCAGCACATTTCGCAGATGCCCTTGTCACAATTTAATTATATAGGTAGCCCCGTCGTTACAATGTCTGGGTACGCATTAGCACATATTACCCCAGCTGCTAAGTGACGCGGGCAGTCGTCACGCTTATAACAATTTCGTGTAATGGGCGTCTTCCTGATTTCGAATGCTGTAACGCGGATATACCTGTAAGACTCTTCTTGAGACGTTACTTTTCTCGACTCTCTCATTGCCGTCATAGTCGCTCGGTGACGTCTCGTAAGCGCGATAATTTATCCTGACGACTTAATGTTGCAGCGCGAACGAGTATACAAGATCGGCATGTAGATTTGGCAGTTGCAAATATAGAAACTAAAGCAAAACTTTTTAAAATTCAAATTTTAAGTTCATGAAAAAATATCTAGTAGAGGTTTATTCAGTTATTTACACGTTTTTATCATTCCTTTTAAGGTCTTTTTATTGTAATTGATGTTAATTATTAACGAGAAGGAATAGTATTTACGTAATTCGACACATTTTACTTATTCGGATAAGAGTAAGAAAAATTTATACGCAAATTTATACGCACACGTAAAATTAATTTCCAATATACATAATAAATGCAATCGTAAAAAAGAAGCAGACATAAAATTTACATACATTTAAAATACATTGACAAACGAAATAATTTTAAAATTATACTTTCTCTCTTTGTAATCATTATAACTTTTATTTGTTTGCTTTGTGCGTTCTTAAAGAGCTCGCTCTAGAACGTTAATAGAGGCTTTATTTATCTATTTACTTTTTCCTGTTTCTTTATGATAATTTAATATTGAAATTTCCAAATTATAGACGTATATACGTAAAATATATCAATGTACAAACGCACGCAACATTACACGCTTATTTGTATGCAATTTCCTTCAGCATGCCAACGCGATTCGCGAACGTGGCTGTATATTCACGATGTAATTTCAGATCTTTGCTTGTCAGAGATATACGTGGTGAAAGCGACTATTACGTTATATAGTACGTTGTATATCTTCGTTATAATCCTGAAGTGAAGTGTGCGGCATCGAGGATACCGCATCGGCACAAAGAACATGCGACGAATTTTAATGCGGGATGAATTACGGAATCCGTAACTTTTCACATTACGTACCAATCGTGTAAACGTGTCATTGCAGTTTCATGGGAGAACGCGCGTCGCCAGAATGCACGCGCGTGCATTTCGTAAGGCTGAAGGACTTAGATATATCTTCGACAGCTGCACGCTTCTCGACTGAATATGTCTTCTCTTTTCTGGAAAAGAGAATTCGTTTTACGTAATACTAACGTTTGACCTTCGTAGTTAACTTGGCATTACTTATACAGGAAGCAATTGTCGGTCTAATTGTAGCCGATGTAATCGTGAAAATCGTTTGTAATTGAACAGAAAACCGTTGCGCTTGGGTGAATCTGCAAAATATCTCCATACCTATACAGCATGAAACTTAACAATAATGACCTCGCAAAATACGATATATTACCTCAAGTCAACCGTGAGTATGAGCGATTGTTTGTTTTTGTTTACGTACCGTGACAAAGTACGTGTTAATAATACAAATTATACTAATAGTAATTATAATTAAAATCGTGAAAAGATACTTGGAGCCGAAGCAAAAATAAAATCTTAAAAATCTTAAAAATTATCTTTAAGTAAATAAACGAGCCGAAGAATAGTTATTCATGACGAGAGTTAATTATTAAACTCAACTTGAGTTAATGAATTCTATAAATATTCAATAATGAGTAACACAATAGCGAGCCTATCACGAATCAATCTTTTTTTAAGAACTGACACTCCGAGAGATAATCTATTGTGCACAGGTATATTCTTAGATGCATCAAAGGAATTATAAGAATATACTCGTTAGTATATTTAATGAATAAGCATTAAGTATAAAACTTAATAGCTGTCATTTATAGATCGGAGGACAATTTACTGCGAGTCAGGTCAAAGTTTTTATTATTGCATACGTTTGATTGATTCATCGTGCCTGTACCTTATAATTACTCGATAGAGGTAGACAGCGATTATGCAACAAGAGCGAGTGAAGGTTTTATCAAGTTTGTTTCTTTCACAGGCGAAATGGCGGTTCTCTATCTTTACATGCGGTTCCGATACAACTGGAACGAAGTGACGTTCAGCATGTTCTCCACGTTTGGCATGGTAACTAATCTGATCGGTAAGAAAATCACTTGAAAATGTCTCGCACGTTAATTAATGAGCGAGAGGGAGAAAAGAAAAATAGAAATTTAAGCGAGCGCTCGTGAAAAACGTTTGTGCGCAATGAATTCTTCCGGTTCATTCACTGACTCTAACTACTAATTTTGAAGTAGAAATGTACATTCTGCTTCGTGTAGAAACGCGGACGCAGCATACGAGTCGGTCGGAGCAGATAATCTCCTCCGATTGCCGTTTCACGCAAATCGAAGGTATCCGTTAGCTCTATTCTCGTAATGATGCTGTACATACATCGGGTTAATCAAGGCTTTTTGTGTCCATGGGTCGATGAAAGCAAACGGGAGACGTATCTTATGTAAGAATGAATATCGTTGCTAAGCGGAATCATCAACTGTCGCTTTTATTCTAGCTGATTATAGAAGGAATTGCCTTGAAAATGCAATTGCTTGTTGCAGCAGTCAACTGGTAGTACAAAGTAGAAAACGTTAGAAGAATATTTTGCAACAGAAAGGCAGATTGCCAATGGTGTGCATGCAAGATAAAATCTATTAGAATTTGTGTCTTACGAACGTGACACTTTAATGTTCGCCCTATTTGAATTAGGACTGTTACGTTTGACAGTTTGAACATTTGACAAAATTTGAAGCTTCGATAGAATTCAAATCTTCAAAGTTAATTTTGAACTTAAAACTTTAAGATGCCAAAATTTTGAAATTCGAAGTTAACTTCGAAGCGTTGAAGTTTCGAAAAATATATTTGTGTAAATAGTAAAAATAAAAATTTATTCATAGCAATATTTACATATTTTTTAATGAAAATATATTTGTTACTATTAATCATATAATTTTGATTCTTTGAAGCTTCGAAATTTCAATCTTCACGATTGTCGAAGCCTTCGAAGCAAATCATCAGCCCTAATTCGAATACCGTATGAATGTCTTCGTTTGACTTTCTATTCGTCGACAAAAACTTTCTATTTGTCGATGTAGATTATTCTACAAATTTTGCAAACGCGCAAAATACGACTTTCTAATATTCTTTTTCTTTTGACTAACGGATCACCTGGAATTTTACAGCGCTCGTCCGCTTACTAATCCTTTAGAATCGTTATTCGTGCGATCGTCCGATATTCGTCTCGCATGAAAAAGTAAAAGATTTTTCCCTCTAATACGCAGGTACCGCGATCTCCGTCGGTATCTTCAGTCACATTCTCAAGATAGACGACGCGATCGTGGGTATCATGAGCTGCACGAGTAAAATTTTAGCAAGTTTCGTTTACGCGTTCGCCACGTCCGCCTGGATGGTCTACGTAGGTCAGTCTTTTTAAAACGGCTAACATCAGGGTAACAACTACGTATATAAAATATATATATCACAGTATAGCCCGAGTCCCGACGCGAGTGTATCTAATAATGGATCAATTACTTATTTCAGCCGCTATCGTGGAGATCGTGAACGGCACATCTTTCATCGCCATGCGATCGATAGCTTCTAAACTCGTGCCCACCGATGAGCTCGGTAAGAGAATATAAATAAAAAAATGATTCTCCTTACGCCATTATATTTTTATATCTCAGAATTTTATAATTTCAAAAAAATTAAGTATTATAAAACTTCGTATATATATATATATATATATATATATATATATATATCATACAAGTTTCTTAGAAGCGTTCAATTTGCGGATCGTACACTTCCTGTGTAAAATCGCAGAGAAAAGATGCTTCAGCTGTGATAACGTCGTAACATCAGACGGACATGCATATATCTCTCATATTTAGAAGAATTCTTCGTAGAAGCGCATAAAATAAATGAACTCAAACAAAAGAATTACATCATTACGATCATTATATTAATACTTTAGTGCCACTTAAAAATGTTTTTCGACTTGAGAGCTCAGTCTTTACCTTACGAAACAGCGTGTTTCGCGGAACCGCGTAAATCGGATAATTTGGACACCAAATTACATTTACGTGGCAACGCTACTAATTTTTCCATCACGAACAAAGTCTAACGAGGCCTTCCTGTCCGGTTAACGACAAGGAAAATTCAACGCAATTTTTATTCTCTATCCGAAGCTAAGACATACACACGTTACGTAATTTTGTAGGTAAGGTGAATTCGCTGTTTGGCGTATGCGAGTCCCTGATGCCGCTTGTTTATGGGCCAATGTACAGCGCCATTTACGCGGCGACCATGAATACATTTCCGGGGACGTTCTTCATCGCCGGAGGATGCATGACAATGCCCGCGGTGTTTGCATTCTTGTGAGTAGCATGATCAAGTCACGATTATAATGTGATATGTTACGTTAATGATATATTACGTTTGCCAAACACTATGATCTTCCCATGAAACATTATATTCAAAATACATCATAAAAACGAACGTGGTTTATAAATCAAAACGTATGAAAAGAAGAGCATAAAAATTCACCTTGTACGAGGCACCTTCACATGATGAAAGAACACGTTTTATATATAATTATATCACACGACGGATGAATTTAATGTCAGCTATATGTAATTCTGCGTTTTAAGAATATTGTGAATTTACTGAAGATGGCCATATTTTGGCCGAAACGTCTAATGTTTTATTAATGATAATTAAATATCACAAACAATATCTTGTGCGGTGGTTTTTTTATCCTCTTCTTTTCATACGTCATTATATTCAAATTTTAATGATAATTGAATTAAGTTTGCGAATTGCGATTGTATGACGTTAAGTATTTCTTAATTGTTTCAGCTGGTTGTACACGGAACATCGAAAGGATCGCATGCTGAAGGAGCAGAAAGAACCCGAAGCTATGATGAATCATAAAAGCGAGGATGCGACAGATTATAATTTGAAGGCATCAACTCCTCGGATCGTGGACACACAGAAGAACGCACAGAAAACCGAAATGATGAACGGCATAGATAACGCGGCCTTTGAATCTGAACAGTTGTGATCTCACGATTTACGTGATCCTTTTTTTTTTTAATACAAAGTCGTATGATACATCAATAATACCTCATCACAAAAAGAAAGGACTGAAAGAATACCTTAAAGTCGTTGCGATAAATGCTGGTCACGTTGCTGATAAAGGCGTTAGCGAATTTGTTTTACGAGTAGGATACCAAAGGCAATCGGTATTCATTATCAAATACTGATTAAACGGTATGTTGAAACTCAAAGTGTACGAAGATTCCGGTGAATCACCTTTCATTACATTTCAAGATGATCGAGAATCTCAATATTTAGCAAAGATGACAATATGATAGTGATTTATTAGAGATGTAGAGAATGCTTCCCCAAAATAATGTGCAAAACAGAACTCTTGTTCCGGAGTTTTAGTATCCAGTGAGAAATGAATTAGGATTCTAAATTATGATATTTCTCAAATCCTACGCAACTGCTAACTGTTATCACCTTCATACTGCATCAAGGTGCACTTTATTGAGACTTCCTCTTTGCCATCCATGACTTCACTTACTGCAGCTTGTAGATCTTGTTTCAAGTATTCTCAAGATGTAGAGATACTCCGAATAAAGGGTAACTACCAGTTTATTTCTAATTTAACAATTTTAGATGAAAACAGTATCCAACAAAAGAGTTAAAAGAATTTTTTTTTTTAAGATTTTGACGACATGTAATTAATGCAATCATTTTAAAAAGGACATTATTTTAAGAACCTTATTTTTTAGAAATACGTACAATGAAGATTTCTCTTCAATATCTTTGCTATAAGTCCTTTCTAAATGAATAATTTAGTTACATGTAATATATATTGTATATGTATGTGCGTGCATGCGTGTGTGTGTGTGTGTGTTTGTGTATTATATTTACGCGCGCGCGCGTGTGTGTGTATGTAATATATACATATACATATAATTCGTTGTAATTTTTTTCGCCGTGTTTAATTTAGTATTTGTTTAAAAACGTTCATTATGCAACAAAAGCATCGTATTTGGACAAAGTGTCAAATACGATATACAAATTTTTATTTAAAAAAAAAAGCTATATATACATATATATCCTTTATTTCGGGTATACTAGTAGAAACCGTACTTAAACAGATTACGACGACAGCGTGAAAAGAATATGCGCATTATAGATATTCATATTGCATTATTGGGTAGATTAGTTTCTAATTCTCTCTCTCTCTCTCTCTCTCTCTCTATCTCTCTATTTTAATATTTAAAACTTCTGAAAAATTCAAAATGTGACCTACTTTCTTTTTAGCGCAAGTTTCGTAACAAGCATGCTGATCGCGTGATATTTAACATTATGATTAAGGAATTTTGTCAAAAGAAAGCTTTACATCAGCGTATAATCGTTTTTTTATCAATCTTAAATAGAGTTTACTATAAATGTTGAGATGTAATTCATGTACACGCATATATGCAATATAAATTCAAAATTGATAAAGCAATGTATTTGTTGTACCGATAGCGTAATATTTTCCATATACACGTTTTTTTTTAGCAGCTGTTACGACTCCATACAACACAGACCTTCAAGAAACGTCCTAAAGACGTTCCAGAAGACATTTCTATGTCCTCTGAACCTTCTAAGGACGTCCCCAGAATATCTCTCGAATAAAGTGTGTTGTATGGAGACCTATTAAGTTTTTACACAGGTTGCACAGATTTTTGTAATTTTATGTGTGATAAATTTAAGTGCGATAATTTTATTACCTGTATAACACGAATGTAAAAGTCGGTTGCGTACGTTAATTTCATAAATCTGTTTAAATAATAAACTGATTATGCTAAATAAATAAAAAACTGATTGCTCTCCGTGTCTACGTCTACACATTCCGACACAATTTATTTATTTATAACAATTTTGTTAATGGTTAAGCCCATTTTAGGCGATCTATAATTCGCGTCAGATTCCGAATATTTTGTTTAACTTTATTACATATGTGCTGTGTAATACAAAAAACAAATATATTGCTCGATATTGTTTTACATTCTACGAATATCAATAAAGTTGAAAAATAAAAGCAGCAAGTTTTCTATGCATTTAATAAAAAAACGTAACTTTGTTTTAAGTAAAATTATATTTAATGCATATAAATATACATATGATGTGTATATACATGTATGTATATGCGTCATACTAATCGCACAAATTACAAAGTTTTAATGGACTCAACGACTATATGAATTCATTTATCCTTCTTCAATTTTTTTAATCGTAATAAGCGTAAAATCATAGTTTCACAAAACAAAGAGTTAAGAACGTAAATCGATTATATTTTACGTTTGTGAATAGCTGTAAATTGTACAACAGTTATTTGTAAAGACTGAAACTGTGTTGTAAATATAGAGCAATAGTTATATAATTTTTTTTTCTCGTCCTTTCTTTTTAAATTTTGCTCATAATGTGCAACAGAAATAAGCAAATAAAGCTAAAACTCAATTATAAAAGTTGAAGTTTTTAATTTATCATCTTTATTTCATCATATTTTTCCTCTTATCGAAAGAATAAATCATTGAACTTTCGTTTCTCTTGATAAATTCACAAATCCACTAATGCTCTAACTCTAATAATTCTTCTGCGTGATTAATTTCCGATGATTAACTTTTTTCAAATTTGTCCTTTTTCAGCATTTTTTAATAACTTCCTAATAATTTGTAAGAATTTGTCTTTCTACAATCTCTTAATGCTTTGCTTTAATATAATTTTATATAGTATAAAATTATCATTAAGATGTAAATATTAGTATAAAAAAATATACTTACCTATATATATAATATATATATATAAGTCCGCATGATATTTTTTATCAGCAATCTTCACATTTGTTTTAAAAAAATTAAAAAGTATGAATTTAAATTAATGCGATTAATAACAGTGTGCGTTGATTTAACAAAAAAACAGGTATTTGATAGATGGATTTAACACTGAAATAATCATGAAGATATCATGTCAATAAGTAGAAGCTACGATTCGATAAAATATTATTTCAAGATATAAAAAAGTATGAAAAAACAATATTTTTAAGATATAATGAGAAAAAATATAAAATTTAATACAAAGGCGTATACTTTGCTTACCTGCAAAGATTGGATTCGTGAGAGACAGTACGCTTGGATGATGGAAGGTGTGAAAAGAAATACTCATGTAGTTCATATTTTCAACAATTTACTCCTAGGCTCTTGTTCTGGCCAGTTGAGACTGAGACCGGCGCGCACTCGCGGTCCCCCCTTTGTTAATTACATAATACATAAAAATAATGGTATATACAAATGTAGGGAGAAATGTTAGGCACTCAATGAACAGAACGGCGAAACTATAAATGGTAGCTTTGTCGCGCACACCGTATGGGCAGATGGTGTTTCTTTTACGATGTGCGACTTTTATATCGATGAGATATGATGCGCTCGGAGAGCAGAGAGCGGGAGACAAGTTTTAAGGATACCAAAGTGCGAAAGATAGAGCGCAATTACGCGACATAGACGCGGCAGAAAAGAAAAACCAACAGTGCGATCGGCTTCTTTGTTTTTTTTTCTCTTCAAATTTCGTTCGCCACTCGACTTGCATCGAGTCCCAAGATCCGATTGTCGCGGTGAAATGACGTGTTGGAATGTTGGTCGGGCAACAAGCATTTTCTCTTATGTGGAATGTGCTCCGCGCGAAGTCTCACGATTATCTTTATTTTTTCCTTTTTTTTTTCCTTTAAAAATTAAGTCGCATTATCTAAGTACCGCAGTGTTGTTATACGTTAATAACGCTCCTCCTCGTATCTTCACTGGCCTTCATATTCGTTACGGTGAACGGCGTGGACACATTCGAAAGGAAGGACTGCTCAATACTCTGATCTTACACGTATCGACGCGCGATCTTTTTTTCCCATATAACCTGGGCATGTCGGTAGACTAGAGTTCCCGTGTCGTTATAATGTTGGTTTGAATCAAAACGTAAAACTCGCGTAAAACGTCCTATCGTCCGAATTTTTTTCCTCCTCATATCCGTAGGCGCGGTGCTCGCAATATTCGACGATTACACGATTTCAATTCCAATCCATTAAATCCGTTTCACCACACGCGCTACTGTGCTAAACGTACAAATAAGGACGTAGTATTTGTTGTATGCGAGCGATTTCTCGACACTGTCAGTCCGATATAGTCGGTGCCACACCTTTCGATCTTATTACAAATGTCCTCTTATCACTTTATCAATCGGTCGACATACAAACTGCATGATATATCATTGTTTTATTTCCCCCCAAGTACTCGACGTTAAAGTCCACATTACGCAGAATAAAATAAGTTACACGATTTGTCTATTTTTTTCTCATTAAAATATGATACAAATTACAATTATTTATGCTTGGAGTGTAAGAGCCGTTAGTTGTGAAACTAGAAAGCCTTCGTCCTTTTATTCGTGGTGTAAAAACTGTCTTTCCACGGATGGGTTACAATTCGATTTGTACAATTAGAGCTTTATACATATCCTTGAAGGTACGGTTGATATGACTCCGCGTTTATAATTAAAAATCGGCACGCTCGCCGATGTTAAACAATGCGCGCGAAAAATATCTATTAATTAGTGCGGTAACGTGTTCAAGCCGGACGCGATCGCTGTTTCTTATGCACTAGCTAAGAGCCGAAGATTTCCGTTTTCTCGACACGATCGATCGTCGACGGCAAAAAAGGGGCGTATTATACTATATAATAAAGTATGCAAAATAATACGAACGATCGCTGTACATTTGGTCACTCAAGAGTTTGTCCTTAACCATTACTTATCTAAATGTTACGTTTATTAGCAATGCATATACACGCTAACGGCCCTTAACCCGCTGATAATATCACAGATGAATGAGTTTCCGTGTTGTGCGTTACGCAACGCTATCTAAGGTTTCTAACAAGTGCCTTGATCCTCTCAATTTTGTCGCTGAGCTTTCGCCTCTCGGAATCAAGTGCTGTTCTGGCGCACAGGAGATCGTAGATTTTCCGTTCTAATAGAGCAGTCTCGGAACGCAAGTTATTGGACTGTGTCATCAATTTTGATGTTTCGCTTGTCAGAATTTTCCTCTCCAATTTCTTTTCTGTAAAAGATAAAAAAAATACGTGTTCATATTATTATATTGTATCATATAAATATCATATGCTAATATGTAACAAAAAGTTCACCTTTCAAATACTCGCTGTAGGCAAACATAACATCCACGATTCCAGTCCATCTCGGCTTTTTTATTTTCTCACGTATTTCATCAGTGTTTGTATTCTCATTGATGTCTGTAGTCTCGTTGATGTCTGTACTCTCATTGATGTCTGTAGTTTTATAATATTGCTTCACACCATTCTCACCAGGAACTAAAGGTGGTAGCGGTGATGGTCGTTCCGGAATATGTTTCGCTTTAACTTTGTCTAAAAGACGCATTTTCGGAAGTTTTGGTAAAGCTGGAGGATTCCTAGAATAAACTTTGGCTCTATTTTCACAGTAGGCAGTAACGGAATTCACGCTTTTCCGTTTCTTACGATCTGCCAGAACGTGCTGCCATGTCACTTCTGCCTCTGCAATCACAAAATAGCAATACAAATTATTGTCTTATTAGATTATGTCTCATAGAAGAAATATTGTTACAATAAATAATCAACATAGAAATGTGTATTTTATTATAACTGACAAAAAATTACGATATTTTTTATATCTATATAATTATAAAATATTATATCAATTTGATTGATATGATATATTTACCATCTCTTTTTTTCGGAGGCATAATATCGAGACCTATATTCCTGAGAAATCCAACTTTTGGCTCGAAATCTGGCGTGTGAAGCAAACAGTCCGGATGCTCACGCGGAATCGGTAAGACAGACTCTATCATAGGTTCTACTTCCAAAGGTACTTCCGGTGGATCGGGATTTATTCTGTATCTTTTTTCGACCTTGGACAATTCTATGTCTACAAAAACAATGACAATGTCAATTCAGTAAATCAACATTAAAACACATTACAAAATAGCGTTATTCTTTTACCATTCTTAATAGTTAGTGTAGTCAGTCCAAATATGGCTAGGAAGGCTAATTTGTCTTCCGAAAATTGTAATTTAGCCGGTGGACCTTTCGTGATCCAAAAATCCATGTCTTTGGTTTCCTCCTCGCCCTCCGAGTCGGAGCTACATATGACGCCTGTGTTCTTTTCCCTCCTTCGCTTACGCCTCTTCTCGGCTAAATCAAGGGTCGATATTTCCTTCGGTATTTCAGGCATCAAGAAGGATTTTTCGTTGCTGGTGACATCTTGCTTACTCAAAGCTTTACTGAGGTCAGGCACGTTCAGTACCGCTGGTTCGCACCTCACGGAAATCTCAGTCAAATTATTGCACTTGTCGGTAATGCAAAACGCGGTCGTCTTCAACTCGTTGTTGCTTGTCGAGAAGTTCAAGAGTTTTTCCTGATACTTCGGGATCTGCAAGAGCACATTGGAGACATTCTGACAAGTGCGCAACACTTCCTCAGATTGGATGCTTTGCATCAGCTGTGTCGTGTCCATGGGCTTCTGTGCAATATCGTTTATGCTAAACTTAAAGCTCGGTTGAAACGGTAATGTGGACAAGACGTTATTCTGATCGCATTGCGAAGTACAATCAATTTCATTTTTCTTCTCGCATTCCTTCTCAGCAACGTTATGATTCACCGGGTGAAAGGATTTCAAATTCTTTCCCTGCTGTTCACAAGGCAGATGTGGAATTGCGGTTTTCTCCTGAACTAAATTCGTTGCGACGTGATTCTGATTCGACAATTGTGGCTGCCTGATTATATTTTCGCTTACGGTCTTTTCGTTGCATGCGTTCAGCTTGTTGTCCTTCGGTGCGATATCCGAGTTGCTTTTATGATGCGCGTTTGTATGATTTGCAATCTTACCACCGCTGTTGACTTGATTATTAGCGTTGAAAATGACGCTATTGGTCATTGTCTTCTCACTAGAGACGCAGTTGTTGGTCAAGCTATCGTTTCGTGAGATCGTCGTGGTTGTCGTTTGATGAGATTCGGCAATGTGATGCGCATTCTGCTGCTTTGTGATATTTGAATTAGTTGAATTGATGGTGCTTGTGCCGCTGCTACTACTATGACTACTGTTGCTGATGTTTATCGTTGGTACATTGAGTTTGGATTGAGAATGATGCTGCTGATGAGATAACGACGACGACGACGACGATGATGACGACGTCGAAAAGTGTGGCGGTTTGGTGACACTTGGCACGTGCGAAACGGGTATAGGAGGATGATGGTACTGTTGAGGTGGTGGATAAGGAATCGGTTGGGAAAGCACTTGTTGGCTGCTTATGGACTTGTTGTCTATCGTCGAGGAATTCTCTTGCACCACTTGACTACCTACAGGTTGAGAAACAATTGGCGTCATTGACGAAGTCTTCAAGGATGATGGCTCGTGATGGCCGATCTGATTGGCTATACTATGATTGTGACTGTTTATTATCGGTTGTCTCTGTTGTGTCTTCGTTGAGGAGGAGCGGAACGAATCCTCAAACGGCCTGACGAAAACCGGCTGCGACGTTGTCGTGGTGCTCGTCGTAGTAGTCAATGTCGCAGTTGTAGGCATTGTTCCTGCTGTCGTCGTGGCTATTGGCGGTTCCTTATTTCTAGGCACATGAACATTGTGAGACAATGGCGGGGACTTATGAGCCATGTGATTCATGGCGTTCAATGTCGACGAGGAACTGTTTGGCGGCGTTGGCGTCGTGTGCGTAGTCATCGCACCGGACAAAGAACTCGTAGTCGTTGTACTGCTTGTACTATTCGCACGTGGTTGATGTTGTTGCTGTTGCTGTTGTTGTAACGGGGGTTGTTGATGTTGCTGCTGTTGTTGGTGGTAAATGGAACTGTTGACCGTGGTGGTCGCACTGCTCATTATCGTGGCTGTGTGCTGACTAGAATAAATGGTATTCGACGACATGGAGGGTAAATGTAAAGAGGGAATGGAGATGATAGATGGAAGGGACATACCTAAGGACAACGAAGGTGGCGGTGGTCCTATTACACCAGCCGTCAAGGATGGAATAGCGGGTATCGGTGTTGGACAGATCGGCGTCGAGTTTATAACCGCCGGTGGTGGCGGCCCAAGGTTCAAAGGGGGCAAAGTAGAACCCAAAGGGGGTGGAATGGGCGCAGAGCTAACGGAGCATATAGAAGTGGAGCCTAAGGTCGGTCCAATGGGTACTGGATTGGGAAAAGGTGCCAGACGGGGATGGTAGATGGTGACTGCCGCTGCTACTGTTGAATCGGAAGGCGGTGGCGGTGGTGCAGCTGGCGGAACAGAGGACTGATGCTCCTCTTTTCGGGATTGATGATGATTGCTACCAATAATAACGGTAGATCCGCTAATGTTGCTGCTACAGTTACCAGAGTTGCTAGTGTTGTTCCCACAGATGTTGTTAGCGTTGCCACCGCTGTTGTTACCACCGCCACCGCCGCTACCGCTCTGTCGTTCTCTCCCGTCGCGTTCTCGATCCCGGTCGCTATGCAACTGAATCGCTATGGGCGGCTTCCTAGCTGGAACAAATCCCGAACACAGTGCTTGGTGATCTTCCACTCTACAATGAAAGAAATCTTGACAATGGCGATACGTTGTAATTTTCCTTGTATTGTTTATAACATGCTTTATATATACATAAAGATTCAGTATTAATTATGAAATAATTTTGGAGTTTAAAATGAGTCCAAGAAGAATAAAAAATTTCGAGAGATATTTTTAAGAATAAAGAAAACCCAACATATCACTATAGCCAGATTTCGCCATCTCGTATAAATAAGCCAAAATTCTCGATATATCTTCAGCACATCTAATATAAAACAGTTGCATATGATTTAAATGTTTTGTTATTATTATTTTGAGATAAGCTTTTATAACAAGCTCGCGCGCGAGGAGAAGCGTTAAGAAAATATTTATTTCTATTGTCTCGAGATTATATAAGTTTCATAAAGTATAATGTTATGTGTGATTTACGACTAAATTAATTCGCATTTTAACAATACTTCCAATTAATACGCAATAGATTTATTGTAAATTATTACGCATTAAATAATGATCGCATTAAAAACGCCTACGCAATTAATATGCACAATGACAGTATGCAATATAAAATTTATTTCGTAATTATTAGTTTATCTATTCCAACTTACCTTTCGTTTCGCTTAATTATATATTCCAGCGTTATAAAAAAAAATCCTTAAATATATTCGCATCGAAGTATTGGGGATGATTACTGTCATATTTTTAATAAAGCTAAACGAAAAAAAATTAAATAAATAGTAAACCAATTGTCTCTCTCTACACTATCGGGGCAATAGCTATCACTGTTGCTCTTAATGTATTAACAATATAGCGACTTTTCTCATAATAATTGTAGTAAAATAGATATTAAAGCAATCGGACTACGAATACGGAATCTTCCCCAAAACTGTTTCAGAAAATGATTCGAGGGTCAAGAATTCCAAGTCCACTAGAATTGCAATCACATTTTCTGCAAGTTTTATTTTCATTTATAGTCCAAATATACATGTTTACAATAAATTATATATATAAAAATGGTGTAATTTTGACAAAAGAACATGTATGATAGTTTATATACATCGGTTGATTCAGTCAGTATGAGGAGCAACATTGTTTACTATACAATTAAGGGAAACTATGTTGACATTAATTGGTTAATTGCAAAATTTCTAAAACAGTTGCGGGAACTAACGCAAGAGTGCATTGCGCCTGACAAAAGAACACTTGGTATCGAAATAATTAATCTATTAAATTATAACATTCACGCATCTATATAAGTCCACGCCTTGAATTATTATATATTTTATTTATACATTCTAACAAAATATGTTTATAATAAAATATATTTTCCGTTTCATCAAATGATGAAATATATTTTATTTGTTCAACGACTCTAATTAATAAAAATGTAATTTATGATATCTAATAAAAATAAAACACTAACAAATAAATGAACGCTCAAATCATTCATAGAATATTAATAAACATACATTTTTGCTCATACGTCTTAACAATAATAATATATAAAAAAAATATATAACTTTACAAGAAAATTGAAAATAATCTAAACTGTATGTATGGTTTATCATATAACAGTAGTCATCTCTCTCTATTTAATATATCTCCTGTAATTTCTTGAAAATTATCACCAATTTCATTCACACTTAATTTTCCATTATTAATTATAAGCATTTTCGAAACTTAATGTCGAAGTTCAACAAATTCTTTCGTTTAGAAGGCGTGCACTCTTATGTTTAAGTTTCGCTATTATTAATTACAAAAACGATTAACTACATAACCAACCTGTCGTCGCACAGTAAATAGTTTCACATTCGAGTACTAAAACAATGGAGAAACAATTTGAAATACGTATGCGAAGAATATTGTGTACACAACAGTGGTAATAGCCAACCGAAGGCCGACTTAATGTTAACATGATATTAACAAAAGGCGACAGCAGAAGATCAGAGTCTGACTTCGGTCCGTAAATAGATAAATAAAAACAGCTAAATCTCGAAAAATTGGATCGCGTTTCTAGATCAAAATTAGGATTTTAATTTTTTTGCCGCTAAGCCCACTTTTGACAATTCGGTGAGTGTCGAGCCAAAAGATAATGTTATTAACATAGTATATACTGGATGAACGAACAATGAAAGGAAAGCGAACTTGAAATCAAGTTATTTTCATTCAATTTATACATATCAATTTATTTAAAATAACTTTTTCAATGCATCACTCTGCGATCGAACAGGACTGATATATGTCAAACATTACGAATGTTCCAAAGATATACAATCACTGCTCGTTTAATGTTCGTTCATTCGCAGTATATACTTAATCCATCTTTAGACTCCGCTCAGACACCAAATCGCGTGCTTACCTAAAAGATATCAACGCTACCTGCATAAGAAACGAGTATAACTATGACTATAATTTTCATTAAATCTAGATTAAAATTAGAAGCGTAGTATGTTGTTTGTTCCGTTTGTTTCTTTTCTTTTCGAGTTCTCACTGGGTCACAGTCATATTTCTACAACGACTTCTCCTCGCTCGCGCCGCCAGTCCGTCTATCTACAGAAGAACTTTGGCTCGCAATACAGGTCATCCGAACGCCAAGTGAACAACGATCACCGCTGAGAATACGATCTCGTTTGGCGACTTCGGTTTCAGGGGGAGGGAATTAAAACTAAATAAGACAACGCGCGGGACTACGGAGTCGTGACAAACGCGATTTATGCAGATATTGCATATACTATTATTCTCGGCACTGTTTCAAGAAGATGCTAGCTAAATTTACTGGATATGGCCATAAGAAAGAAATACGCGACAATTTCAGCGGTATTATGACGACGCTGCAGAAAACTTCGTAGTAGTGAAAAAAAAAAAGGAGATAGAACGAGCTCGCGCGCTTTAACGAGCGATCGCAGGCGGATCACGATCGCGCTTCGATCGATGCTTTCTTTCTTTCTTTCTTTCTTTTTTTTTTTAATGAAAGGCAGTGGGGGGTGGAGCGACTCGCTCACCTGCAGTATCGGCGGATGCAGGGGCAGGCGCGGGTACCGGGGCAGCGGGAGCAGAATTTCTCACTGCTCTTCTCCTTTCCTCCTCCTCCCGCAACGCAGCCTGCTCCCGTGCTTGCCGTAGCCTATGCTCCTCCTCCAGCTTCAGTCTGAAAAAGGAGAAGCGCGATGCG